GGCTTGGTGGCAACTGAGCGGATGATCCATTAAATTAGCAAGAAAGGACGCAGGCGACAAGGTTCTGAAGGTTGAAACCCTTGATGTTTTTGCCCAGGAAGTTCTTTTGTGTGTCCTTTGCAAGAGCGGCATTGAAGCGCAGTGTTTGGGTTATTGATTCAAGGATCTGAAACGTTGTCAAACTCTTGAAAAGCTGACAAACCAACCAGTCCAAGGGATTCTATGGTTTTATCGCCGTTCGTCTAGAATTCATGTTGCGGAAATATGAGGAAATGCCATGTGCTTATTGATTTCATTGTTGCCTTGAAGTCCTCGAGTGCTAAGTGTCATATTCCGTTGCAGGTGAAACAGTTTGCCAAGACTGCTCACATATAAAAACATTTGGCGGTTGGTCTTGGACCTATTGTCATGTGGTCGGCACCAGGTCGCACCAAATCACGCGGTCCTGCTGAGTGCTTTCGTTCGAATTCCGGTCAGCAGTCCCGTAGCAATTCCCAGAACTTGTGCAACCAAGCGCGACCTTCGGACTTGAACAGCCTCTAAATTTTTCCCCCATTGCGTCCCAAGAAAGCAAGTAATGATGACGACGACGAGGATGATGATGATGATGATGATGATGATGATGATGACGACCAAGATGAGGATGAGGATAAGGATGATATATGATGATGCACAAATTCTGAGGCTCCAATGAACCACACTCTCCAGCTTTAAGCAGATTGAGCATCCTTCGGTGTCACATATTGCCAGCATATTTGGGCGTCCCATATGCCATCCATTTCGCACCACACCTCCGCCCGCTCCTCGTGTCGCGACCCGCCACGGGCGGATCGGCTGAGGTCCTCACCGCCTCAGAGGCGGTGTCCAAAGCAGATCTCCGAGCCGCCTCGGAGTGGAAGGAGGCGCCGCGCATGGTTTTGGGTCGCCCGGTGGAAAGCTTGGGTGGATGGCTTGAAGGATGGTGATCATGTGTTGATGTTGTATATACATATATATATATACATTTATTATGTCTACCGATCATATTTGGGATTGATGGAGTTATATAATGTTACGAATGTTATATATGTCCACCAACCTGTTGCTTGCTAGGCGTCTTTTGCTACAGCGTTGCGAGGAGTTCCTCCAGTTCCGCGACCTTGATGAGACAACAACTCCTTTGAAGCCAGGGGTGTGTCTAGAAGTTGGATGCAGTGGGCTGGGAAAACCCAGGTGATCTCGTTCACAGATTTGGCAAGAACTATTGTCTCAGCTTGCTAAAGTTCGCCGCACCGACCGTAAGAAGACATGTTTCGGTGAGTGTTCTTTTTTCATGTTTCATGCAATCCCTGTGCCTTTCAAACCGAACCCATGCCCTGTGCGCCAGTTGACCACATGTGTGTAGAGCTGTGTGTCACTGTATGTCAAAAACGACCAATGCTGTGCCCTGGGCGAACCCGTCTGTACGTCGTCCTCCAAATGTGGAGGATCATGATGATGATGTTTGTTTCCCCGGTGACCGTCATGGAAATGCTTGCCGCTGGGAAATTTGACGATTTTGAAGGCCCCTGCCTCGAGATCACACCTAGAGAGGCAGCTAGGACTGGTTTTCGCTCTAGATCGGCGTCGGTCCAGCTGCTGGAGGATTGTCCGTCACCAAGGATTGTCGTCAAGGCACATCATCTCTATCTCTGTCACGGTCAGATCTGTCCCTGCGCAGCTGATGTTTGGCAACTGGATCGCAAAGCAAAGGACGCCAGTCGTGATGGGTCAAGGCACTCCTTCAAATTAGAGTCTATCACCAAGACTTTTGCTGTTTTCCCCAAAGCAGGTGACATAGGCACTCCTCACGCCTGCTGAAACACCATTCAAAATGCCAAAAGTCTCTGGATTCTTACTATATGAACAGATCAAAACAGCACCTCTCATCAAGATTGATGTTGCTTTCAGAATATACAGTAGTGTTTCAATGTTTTTGTTCATTCTTTTTCATCAAGGCCTATCTCTGTCGTTGGTGTAGTTCATGAGCTGTGGAGCATCAAAGTCATCCTGGCGACTTCTTCGCGTAGCCGCCGTCCGCCCGTGGGTCTTGAAAACAAGATCGACAGGCGACAGTAAAATCCTCTGCCTGCGGAGAGCGTTCCCCAAGTGTGCTTCCTTTCCATTCAAAACTGACTATGAACACAATTACTCAATTATTAACATCTCCAAATGTCCTTTGAACGGCTCGTCATCCTGTCGAGGCAAACAAGAATGATTCACGATTCTTTCTTGTCTGCCAAGGGAACCGTAACCATTCATCGTCTTGTAACGACCACAACAAGTACAGGTATCTGTATCTTATGCCGTTGCTTCAGTCAAACCAGGAATCCCCGAATGGTCAATTGGGGAGTCTGAGCCTAATTATGTGCATGTATGCAAGCAGTCAAAAACAAACAACACCGTGGAGGACAATCCCTGCGTTTCGTCATGTGTGCCTTCATGCCCTCACCCAACACTAGCTTCAACATGCCACGCCTGGTCGCCCTCGATAAAGTCCGCGTCAAACCGGGTGCCGACGCTGTCGAGGGCTGCCAGGCGGTTGCTGTGCTTTGGGCAAAGCAAATCAAAACAACAAGTCGATCGGTTCTTTTGATGAACGGGACGTTGCAGGTGCAGAAGAAATGGTGAACATACAGTCAGAGTTGATGGAGCTGAGAAAACAGACTGACTCGGCCACTCATCTCCGACTCCCTCTCCAAAGCCGCAGCTTTGGTGTCCTAAAACCGGAGTGGGACCCTGTCTTGCAAGATCTTGCAAGCCTCATGTGGCTGTTCATCTATACTGACACCCATCACCTGATAGACACAACATGACAGAATCTGGAATCCAGGTCGAATTCCTACTCAAAAGAACATAAAAGAACCACTTTCACGGTTGAGTGCTCTCCATCTTTTCCGACTCCGAGAACCCTCTGCACTTCAGTTCCAACGCTCGACGTCCGCACCTGACTCCGGCGCCTTTGAGCCGATATTCGCGTAGCGCACGTCGCCAAAGCTCTCGAAGCCTCGGTGGTCGTTTTTTTGGCCCGTTTGGTCGTAGCGCCTACGCCGGGATTTCTGGGGAAGAAGTGATACATGGAGTCGTGGAGTGATCCCAAAAAGACTCAACGCCTATACGTGAGATGCATAGAGGATCTTTCGCAATTTTGGAAAACACACTCGGGTTCTCCCGTGCCTTTGGCATCTCAAAAGCAGTTCTGAAAATGTTCTGTTAAAAGGATTCCATGTTCCTCCTTGTAGAAGGGGAGAACCGAAACCTTCTGCCTTGTGGTCATCAACAATGGACAGGCTCGGTGGGCCCCGGTCAAAAATCGTCATAGCCTCGAGCAAGTCCCAACCTGAACATGCACACCAGCTCCAGCTTCGCACTACTGAGGCCTCCAGGCCGTAGTTCGCAAAAATGCTTTTCACCCGCTCGTTCTGCGACCTCGTTCGTCCGAACATGCGACCCCGTGCGAACGAGGAAAGTCATCGATTCATCAAGAAGCCTCGTTGGGGTTGCACTGCCTTCCGGATTTGTCAACTACAGGACAATGTGCTCCGGGGGTTGGACCCTCTGGCGTTGCCATGGCTTGGGGAAACATTGTACAAGCATGACATGCTTTCCAAGCACAGTACTGAAAGCTTGATACGCCAGGTGGTGAATCAAGTCTGGCCTCAGAAGATTTACTAGCAACACCAACGATTGCACCAGCCCAGGGCTCTGGCAGCATGTTGACGGCCAAGAGTACCGCAGCCAACATGCCCATGGCACCCAAGACCGACCAGGCACCTGGTGGCAAAGTCGAAGATGAAATTTCTTGGCCGTCGAGTCATCACCCTGTCCCAGTTTCTTTGGCCTTGGCCTTTTCTGTCTGAATCCCACGGACTGGAAATTGAGAATTGAAGACAAATGGCCTTGGACGCAAATTTGAAAGCCCTGAAGCTTGCGAAACCCTTTGCTCTGAAATTAGGAATTTAACAGGGTGGAGGACGATGTGCCATCATTGGAAACCTTTTCACGGAAAGCAACATATTATACGTCGATGTCCAACACCTTTGAAAGGGGCCCACATGAGGTCACTTTCCCATCTATAGATGAGAGCTGCAATAACAGCTAGGCCTCGGCGAACGGTGACGTATATATCCATACGCATCCTTCTTTTGATGTCTTGTGACTTGTGACTTGCGTTTTCCTGCTTCCAATCAAGTCAGACTTTCTTGATGAGACCCCCAGACTGGTGGCAAATATAAAGAGCTCATCCTTGACTCATGGCTGGCTGAGCAACTGAAGATCTTGGTATCAAGTGCATTGCCGGGGGCGCTACGACAGGGCATCCAATCATAATTATGGCTTGGTATGTGACTAAGATCATATCCAAACCCATCCAAACTGCAGCTGCAATGCAGCTTATGTTCTTGTGCATTAGGCAGCCCAAATGGCGGATCAACGCCAAACGACCGATTTCTGAATTTCTGAAACTGATCTGGTAGGTACACCCGATCAAGGCTCACCCCAGGAAAGGTGACCGAGCGCGGCCTGGGGAAGGCCCCAGACCCCAAAACCTAAGATGAGAAAAGGCCAGAAATGCTAGGAATGCTTTGTATGGTATAGCGGTATAGTGAAATACGGTGCTGCATTTCCCTGAGTACATCGAACATGGAACGATTGCGAGAACGCATTGAAAGCATGCCGTATCAATATGTCAAAACCTTTTCAATCTTCCCTTCGACCACACGGCTGAACCAAAAAAGAGAGAGAGAGAGAGATAGAGAGAGAGAGAGAGAGCAACAACTACTGTAGGCATCTCGATCATCGAAGGAATTGGTTACTTTTGGGCAAGCTTCGCAGGATTTTACTTCGGTGAGCCTCATCATAAAGTGCTTCATTCACAAAAGCCTTATGTCAGTCCTGCACCAATCTAATCTTGGACCAAGCTACACAAATATACTTTTTAAGAATCTTTTTTAAGCTTTAAGCCTTTTGAATCTTTTTTAGACTCACCCCAGCGGTGCCCGACCCTTCGACCAACTGTGGCCTTTGCTCATTGGCTTGGCGGGACAGGCGACCGAGACCTGCTGGGAAAAGGAGATGTCCCCTGGGAGCGAACAGGAGTGAACTTCTGAAACTTCTGCATCTTTCACAGGAATTCGCTTGTGCTTGGAATGGTTTGGACAAGTACAACATCCATTTGCTTTAGCTGAAGCGAATGACAACAACTGATGTCCTTAATTGTATAATTGTATAGGTGCCTCCGACCCCAATCCTCTGCCATTCTGTCCCACTGCGTCCGGTGGTCGCCCGGCGGCGCGTTTTTCGCTGTGCCTGTTGTGGTTGCCACCCACCTTCACAGGTATCGCCGACCACTTTGCGGTAGCCGTTCTCGGAGCAGCAGATGTCGCACTCGACTGAACCAATGGTGAACTCGACTCACAGGATATGAACCCAGATGTTCGAGGGTTGCTGAAGAAACCGCCCACAAAAATGCTCCTTGAAATAGTATCACTCGGGAGATGCAAAATGAACAAACCTAAAGTCTCCTGCTTCCCTGAACACGCCAGCACCCGCAATTGTGCCACTAGGAAACACAAGACTTGATGGGGTGCCAAGCTCACAAAAAGATCAGCAACAGAAACTGACAGGCACTGATAAGTTTCACACCGTCTACCGGTCGCAGGCGGCCACGGCTAGGCATCCCGACGGCGAAGAAGTGGTCATTTCTAGCACAGCTCAAGGGTATCTGCCAGTGGAAAAAGCCGTGGTGAATAACGCGATGTACTGTATATTATATACTTTTGTAGGGTGCTGGGTCCTGGGTGGCACCCGATAGAGGATATTCGAAGAGTGCTTAGTTGATTCAATCCTAATTATCCTAATTATACTCTTGTGTCAATCCCTCAAGTTGATGTCCGAGCAAACATGGGCAGGAGAGAAGGAGGTGCGTTTTTGCTTTGGCGAGTTTGCCCAGTCACGTATCAAACAACCTATCTCACGTGTGACACATTACGACATGGTACGACTCGAAACAGCACATGGGCAGTCAGGGTCATGATCTGCAGCTGGCCCTCTTCTTGAAGTGGAGTCCTGTCTTGACTGTCCCATTTCTTCCAGCCAATTATGCACCCTGGTGGGGATGTGTAGTTTGTACAACTCCTAGAGAAGTCTCCCTGCGCTTCTCCTCAAAACGACAGTTTAGAAACGTGCAACAGTTGCTGCAACAAGCCCACGAGATCCCACGAGTCTGTCTTTAGTCTTTTGTTGGTCTCTAGACAAACAGTTCCTTCCTCCACCCATCCATGCTCTACCGAAACCATCGGATTGATCCTTGATGCTGCCATCATCGGCAAATCTGCACTCAGTCGAGCCGACCTCAAGGCGCCGGCCAAAAGTGAACGGAAGAGTCTTTCGGGATCTTTTGCTTCCTCTTTGGCATGTGCTTACCGCTTACACTGTTGTCCAACCACTAACGCAACTTCTTGTCATGTCTAGTCGAGTCCCCTTCTTAAAGAGGCCGACATCCCCGAAGAATCCGGAAAACATGACCTGGAACTCCAGAACGACCGGTTTTGTATAGATGGCAAGTATATGATATTCACTTCAGTCATCTTCAGCCCATTTTCTGGTTCTGGGACTTTCAAGGCTGTAGACCTCCGCCCTCATGGACCAGTTTGATGACCCTGTCGCCTGTCTAGCAAATCAGAAAAAAACGAATGGACAATCGACCAAACTGCTTGGCCCAAGGATGCTCCTGGCGTATCCAAGCTGATGGAGTTCACTGATCAGCCATACGATGCCATACAACTCATGAATTCTGACTCTACAGTTACTGGAGCTATCTGGTGCTCCTTATAGCTGTCTCTCAGTGCCACACTGGCCGAGTGAAACCCACTTCGCACTCGAAGTCTTCTTGCGTGCACTCGCAATTCTGCCGCGCTGAAGGGAGTGACGTCCGGCCGAGCTTTGCCGAGCTTCGGAGGCTTCGATCCGCTCCGAAGGAGTTGGAGATTCGCGGTGACCGAGTTGCCGGTTCGGCCCCAAAGTGGGTTGTGGTCTCCGATCTAACAGCAATGGCCTCCAACCTAATAGCGATGGCCTCCAACCTAGAAGGTGTAATAATCTCAAACATCTTCTGTCCTTGCCCACAGGTGCAAGTGGGGGAGAGCTTGGAATGGTTGGCTTTATGCTATTTGTCGGCTTGGCAGCGAGCGGATGTGCACTTCAGATTGAGATCTGGTGAGGGAGGGTAGGGGGATGCAGAGTCATAACGGACTCCTTGGATATATCTCCAGAGTCTCTTCTGGTCATTCGACCAAACAAAAGTCTAAGTGTTGGTTCTACAGGATTCAACAATCAAAACAATAAGGATCTTCATCTGTCCGCCTTGTCATGGTCCGTCTTCGTGGACTCTCACAGAACGAATTCTTTATTCTTGATTATATACTTCAAACTGCTCTGGTGCCAAACACATACTGTCAGAACCCCCAAACATATCTCCTATAAGAATATAATCATTTGGATCGTCCCTTGAGGCCTCCTTTTCTAAATGACGTGAGATGACTCCACGCCAAACCACCACCACGCCAAACCACCTTTCCAGTGATTTCTTTTTCGCCCGAACACCTCCCGAACACCGGCCGCCATGGCCAACGCTCGCCTTGCGACTGACGGGCCGCTCGAACTTCTCCCCGTTGAAGCACTCGGAAGTCTGCTTCCGTCGGGTGTAGGTCACCTAGCTTTAACGCATCCGACGCATCCGACGTCCAACGTCTCCAAAGACCTTCCCACGTCGGATTTGCGATGCGGCGAGTTTCCCGAACTCAATGACACCTGCACATGTGTGCAGGCTGGATCTGCTGAGCCAGGGCTCAGGTTGTACGAACTGCTGCTTTGAACCATGATCAAGAAATAACAAACAAATTCAGGAATTCCAAACAACAACTTGATATAGAATGAATGATATAGAAAGCATTGAAGCCCCCATCCTTCTATGGGAATCATTTCACGAACTCTGCTCAAGAATTGAAACTCTCCAGTCTTTGAGAACTAGCTTTGATAGCTGGCACCGCACGCGAGTCCTGAGCCATGCCTTCATGATGTGCATAAAACTACATAAATCCCAGCACCATTTTCGTTGTTTCATGTTTTCTCATTCAGGTTTTCTCGTTTTCCATCCCTCAAAAGCCATGGAATGACCTCCAAGGCCTCCCACACGATTCTTGTTCTTCACCCAGTTCCTTCCCTCCCCCTTTTTTGGGCCTGCTTGCCCATCAAGCATTTCTCGGTGTTTTTGCCATCCGATGGGATCCAAGTCTCCTCAGAACTTGGGACTGCTGGATTTTGCGAGAGAATCGCAAAATGAAGGAAGGCTTATACTTATACAGACTCAAGCTGTTCCTGCTGCTGGTGTCAGAGATACCTAGCATGTCAGTGGCCGTGCCCCCTCTTGGCCAAGGCACGTAGTCAGAGGACACGGAGTCGGATGCCCAAACCCCCTGAGCGGAGCGAGTTTTGGGACGTCGCTGTGGATCCCATGACTAGTCGTCGCCGTGGATGTGCTTTTCCGCTTTTCATCTTATCTGGACACGTTTTGTGCCCACAAACAACTAGTAACTAGTCGGCAAATGCCAGTAACAGTGGATGATGATTCGGTTAGTAAAGCAGTGATAAGTGCTGACGGCTCTACAGGTAGTAGGACAGACCCAACCAATAGCGGTGACCCCAAGGCCAAAGTAGCGGCTGCCAAAGCTCAGATTGAAACTTGCATGGGTTGTCCCACACGTGTCCAGGATTGTCTGCATCTAACGGGCATTGAACATTAAGCTGGCGGTCATGTCATTACGGTGGCAGTGAAGGACAAAACATTACAAAACAGCATACCAGTAGAAGGAAACGAGGCTACTTTGTCAACTGTGAAAGAACACGGTGCAACTGCGACGCCACCTGCCTTGCAAAGAGGTTGGCCCAAGCTCTCAAAATCAAGGTGGTACATCACGCCCTTACAGCAATCGGCTGAATCATGCTGGAAACGGTAAGAGGGGGGTGTTGGAAGTAGTGTGAGCGCGGGGATTGAGAAATGCATGTTGTTTCTTCAAAAACCATTCAGAATCAGAAATTGTTTTCAGCTCGTGGATAATCTTGGATCTCTCTCGTCTTGAGGCAAGTTGAACCAAGTGTAAACCCTCCTCTGCCCTGGCTCAAGCAACTGTTGGGCATAGTGGCATACCATAGATACTCTCTGGAAAAACAAGAAGTGCCACACATGTCCTCGTCAATGCCAAAGCAAACACACGAATTGATGATGATGATGATGATGATGATGATGATGATGATGATGATGATG